AGAAGTGCCCTGAATGCTTTGTGTGGGGTTTTCTCGGGCAGTTTAGAGTTTGCAAACTACTGAGTCGACAAATTACACAGGGCAGATCAAGAGAGAGAGGGAGAGAGAGAGACAGACACAGAGACAGTCTCTCTCCTTTCACCTGATCAGTGGTCATCGCCTGCTGAGCAGCCGAAGTGGTGAGCGGCTTGGACATAGTTTTTGGGTGAAGGTAGGGAGGGCTGTTGGTTTCTTAGGCAGTTTACAGCCGAGTCCCGATACAGAATTGAGCAAAATACACGCAGGAAAGCTAGCTGAGCCAGAGAGATAATGTGCAAACCAGGATGTAACTAGCGCCTAGCTGTGTTCACTCGGGCCTTTTGGGGGCAGCTCTAGTAGCATCCAGTCAGGTGCACCTAAGTATCTACCCTCCTTTCTTGGTCTTCTAACCTGTAGCCATCTCCCCACCTTCATTCATGGCGCTCTCTGCGCCAGGCTGACCCACTTGGCTCACCCCAGGGTTCTTCGCTCACGACCAGGTCCTCTCCCCTCCCCCCATCCAAGGATTTTGTCCTCTAGCTCCCCTGGAGCTAACCGAGTCTTCATTCTGCTGGGGCCAAAACGTCTGGAATTGCTGCAGGCACCACATACAATAGTCACTTTGATTATGACACCCTTAAAGGGGGTAAAGGCTCTCCCGGTTTGTTTGCAAGACAGAACCGGCTGCTACTGAGTTTTCCATTTTGTTCCAGATCTGCTTCCACAGAATATCAAAGAAAACCGAAGAGCCTACAAAAAGAGTTAGAAACAAAATTCAAGAAAATACACACATAAAAAGCTGTGGTGAGTGGGGGTGATTTAAATAAATAAAACAAGTAATTTCCACTACATTTCCATGTTTCCCCCCTTCAACTCAAAGTAGCCATCCCAGGATTCATACATCAAGACATAAAACAAAGGGCGGCTTTGAAGTGGATCACCTCAGTGTGAGCTGCTGCCTGTTACATGAGAACCGATCATCGGGCCTTCAAATTTATGGCGCTTTAATAGAGTGCGTCCGCTGTCTTAAATGCAGGGTATGTTACAGCACTGAGTTATTCGGGCTAAACAGGAGTGATTTAGAACGGGCGTCGTGGGCTTCCCAAAGGGCAGAAGAGGCTCGGGCTGAGAGGTCGGGAGAATGTGGGCAAATAGTCAATTTTCTTCCCCGCAAAACCGCTGAGGAGTGGTTTCCCAAACCCGAAGTTGCAAAGCCATCAGGGAAAGGATGCCACTGAATTAACAAGAATGCCCAGTAAGAGTCCTCCAGGACGAGGCCTCCAGGATGAGACCCATGGGTTATTTGAAGACCCGGCTTAGGCAAAGTAAGGACTGGAGATTAGATCTACATAAACCTCTGAGAATTTTAAGAGAAGCGGACACAAGCAGCGCTCCATCACCTCCCACTACTCTCTCAACTGGCACCGACTGACGGTGGAGGTCCGTTACATTATTTACTACCATTACAGCGCTAGACACCGCCTGGTGCTGTCGCCTCCCTCCCCGCCCAAGCCTCCCTCTCCTTCCGCCTCCCCGCGGCCGTGGCGGCGAGCAAACGCCTAGCAGGTCTCTGTGTATCCATCCAGCCTCCCCACGTCTGAGGCCAGGCGGGCAGCAGGTCCGTGGTCCTCCGCCAGGCTTGATATCCTCTGTCCAACTCGGATTGCGGAGCACAGCTGCTGGCCCAGGCCGGCGGCGCAGGCCACTTTATATAATCCCGCAGCTCGCGCGCAGGGTGTACGGGAAAAGTGCGGAGTAGGGGATTCTTTTGCTGCTCTGCCTCCTACGCAGAGCCTGCTTTCCACTTCTGAAAAGTGCCGGGCCTTGGGAAGTGTTTTTCTTTTCATTCCTTACTGAAGCGTTTACTGCTGCCACGGTCGCAGTCATAAATTTTGTTACAAACCACAATGACAGGTGCATTGATATGCACCGTGAGAGCTCCAGCTGCTTAATAACCCTGTCCCCTGGCCGCTGTGAGCGCCTTTTATTTATTCGGTATCATATTAGGTATTGATCTGGGCAGAATTAAGTGCAGCGAGCAAGTATCAGAGCTCCGTTGCTTCTGAGGCTAGGCCGGCTGGGCAGGCCAGCACGTTTGGGAGCGAACGATGCGAACTCTGAGAGGGTGTCTGGCCTTCCTCCCTGCTGGAAACCATTTGGCCCTGTCTTCTGGGCCTGAGGTTAGGCCTCCAAGCTGAGGTGCTCTAGAGGGTGGAAGGCCTGCCCTACTCCACTGGCTCTGGTGAGGAAGGGGGCAGATGGAAAGAAGAGGAAGAGGATGCTCTAGAGGAATGGGTGGCTGGACCCATTCCTCTGGCTCTGGTGACGATGGGGGCAGATGGAAAGAGGAGGAAGAGGGGGAGGGGTTAAGAGGAGGAGAGGAAAACTGAGGACTACTCAAAATAAGAAGTCCTGCTCAACTGCCCCTCCCCCAAAGCTGCCCCCACCTCAGGCATTTGGATCTTGGCGCTCAAATGAGCAAAGGTACCAAAGGGTGAGAAAAGAAAGCCTGGGGGGGGGGGGTCGAAAAGATGAGCCACTGAACAGTTGACCATTGTCCAAATGATTTATGACCCAGTCCCGGTTTTTAGGTTCAGGCAGAGTTCACAAGGAGTAGGGATTTCTGGAAAGAAATAAACTTTTTTTTTTTTTTTTAAATCAGTTTTGTAACAATATTCTCAGGTTATGCTTTGGAAGCAGGACTTCTTCGGGGCTCTTTATGGAGGGTGCTGCAATGTCCCCCCCCTCCTCCCAGAGAGCAGGACCATTGCTACCTTTGCTTGTAAGGAAATGGACGGTAGACCATGGAGTGGGAAATTATTTAAGGCAACATAAACAGGCAAAAGATGACTCTGGTTGTGAGGGCTATCTGTACTCTGAGGTCTTTATATAGAGATTTTTTTTCTAGGAACTTGCCAAGGTGCAAAAATAATATGTAAAGCCATCTGTCCCATAGGCTTGCTTAGTTCCTCGGGAAGCGATTTTAATGGGACTGGTTCACCTCCCAAGACAAACTTGGTCAACATGGAGGCAGAAGGGGGATGTTTTGCTTCCACAGTTGTCAGTAGAATGACAAAGCAGCAGCAAATTCTAGTGGTTTCAGAAGCCTGGTGCAACAATTTAGACAAGCAGGAGAGAGCAGGATCCCTGAAAGGCCCTAAAACTTAGTCAAGCCAGCTTGGCAGGTTCTTTGGCCTGAGGCAAACATATATAAGTATTAGTCACAGAATGAGGATTTAATGTCCATTTGCTGTTTGGTAACTTTAGTAGTCAGTGATTGGTATTGAAAACTAATCAAAATAATTAGTATAGCTTTGTTAGGTGGCTATCTTAACTGCACACTTTTATGGGGACTAGTAGAAACAGTGCCTACAACAAAACATTTCAGTATTACTGCAACCCATTGAGGAGGACCCATCTCTCATCAAGATAAATAGCATATTCACTTGTATTTTAAAACAAAATGGGCAACCATACTACCAAATAAAGGCTAATTTGGAGAGTTTTCTTAATTGGTTGGGCTTTCTGGTAAAAAATACAGGGGGAAATTAATGCAGAAGCGTTTTGGTTCCTGTGTTTAAATCTGATTGGCCATAAGTTGCATGATGTGGTCCCTCATGATGATGGAAGTCAGGGAGAATTTTTGGGAAGAAACTTTGTTTGAAAGATGAGCTCAGGAACTTAGGCCAGAGAGCTGACCTGTGAGTTTTCTTTATCAAACAGACAAAAGTGATTGAATGATATTAGTTATACTTTAACTCCTCAGGACCCTTTCAGAAGGGGTGGGAACAGCACCCCCCTATGAAGAGTCAGGGCATACAAAAGAGGAAGAATTTTTTCTTAGCCTTCCCCTCATCCTTCTAATTCTGGGTCCATTCATCATGTCATGAGAACTCTCATTGGTTACAGGGTGGCTGGGAGGTGGGGCTGAATGGAAGGTCCAGAGCAGAGGTCAATAATGAAGTATCTATTTATGTAAAGATCCAAAGGAAAATGATAATGTTATAAGAGCATTCACCATTAATGCACACTACATACATCTCAAGATTTAAATCCCTTCATCTATTTTCAGTGACACCCTTCTAAAAGTAGCAAGAGGACAAAGTAAGAGGTGTGAAAAAATGCAAATGAAAGAATTTTTTGTTTGTTTCAAAGTAAGTCTGGGAGCCTTTAAGTCTTCCTTTTGTTGTTGCTGTTTTTTTTTTTCTTCCTAGTTTTTTACACTGTAGATTTCATAGTGCTGACCCCACAAAACTAATTGTGAATTCTCACTCTGTCATCAAAGTGTATTGTCTGGGTCTTCAAAAAAGATGCTGTGATTCTGAAACTAGGTGGGAAAGATTGTTTTAGAGGGAAGCTCTGAAAACTCTGGGCTTTTCTTCTATCCACCCAAACACCGAGATTAGGGTTTTGGGGTAAGAATCCCTATATAGCATGCACAAAGCTCTGGGCTTGATCTCTAGCTCCAAACCAAACCCCACGATTATCCAAAGACTAACTGATTGTGACCTGTTCACCCACTCATTTATCCATCTATTCAATAACCATTTATTGCACTTACTACTCACAGGCCATTGCACTGAACACTAATGATATGTAGATGAGTAGAACACAATCCCTCCATTTAAGAAGTTCATAGTTTAGGGAGAGAATCAGCCAGTCATAAATGTTTTCCCATGCAGGCTCCAAAGCTATATTGACAGTCTTGGAGAAAGACAATACTCCAAGAGAATCTTGGGGTGGAAGGAACTTCTTCCTTAGGCTAAAGCTCAGGAAGAAAGGTCTTTTCTTACATTTAGGAGAAATCCTCCACCTTTTCCAAGAGTTTATATAAATTAAACTTCATAAAACCTCCAACCCAGAACCTTGCCCATCTTTCCACATCAAAGTGAGTGGGAAGCTGAGAGCCTGCTCTAGTCAGTCCTTCTATATTGATAGGTCTTGCCAATGACAGTCCCTCTAGGATCTCTCCCTTTTTTTTTTTCTTGGCAGGTCACTCGGAGCCTGGGAGCTGGCCCAGCTCTCTCAAGATTCAGCAGACACTGGCCTTGGTGGTGAAGGAGACAGTGGTAGTCAATGTTATTTGGGCAGGGTCAGCAGGCCCTGGAGCTTCCTGAGTGCACCATGCAGAAGGCTGCATACTATGAGAACCCAGGACTCTTTGGAGGCTATGGTTACAGCAAAGCCACTGACACCTATGGCTATAGCACTCCTCATCAGCCCTACCCACCCCCTGCTACTGCCAACTCTCTGGACACTGACTACCCAGGTTCTGCCTGCTCCATCCAGAGCTCTGCACCTCTCCGAGCCCCAGGCCATAAAGGAGCTGAACTCAATGGTAGCTGTATGCGACCTGGCGCTGGGAACAGCCAGGGTGGGGGTGGTGGCAACCAGCCTCCTGGTCTGAACTCAGAGCAGCAACCACCACAACCCCCTCCTCCACCACCCACCTTGCCCCCATCCTCACCCACCAATCCTGGAGGTGGAGTACCTGCCAAAAAGGCCAAGGGTGGGCCTAATGCTTCTAGCTCTTCAGCCACAATCAGCAAGCAGATCTTCCCCTGGATGAAAGAATCCCGGCAGAACTCCAAGCAGAAGAACAGCTGTGCCACTTCAGGTAGCTCTCTGGGCAGGTGGTCCCTTGACCACATCCCTTCAGATTTGCCCCAAGAACCAGTTACCTGGGAGCCAAGAAACCCAGGGCTATCAGGGCAACCTTAGCAACAACATATCCAAATGTAGAAATGTCTGTTATTTCTAGTGATTTTGATTGGGTGCTTAGACCTGCAGAGATGGGGCATGTTTTCATTGCCTGTGCCATTGCTGGTCTGGTCCCATGCTTATTAGTAGAAAGTCCTCTCTTATACTGACATATTATCTGCCTTTTCAGGCACTTGTCATATAACTCGACTTCCTCTTTGACCCACCAGATCTTCAAATGAGAAGAGAGGTAGGGTGTGGTTTTGTACACCTATAATCCCATTACTTGAGGCTGAGGCAGGAGCATCTTGAGTTCAAAGAAAGCTTGGGAAGCACAGTGAGTTCCTGGACACCGTTAAGAGATCTTGTCTCAAAACAGGAAACCAAGTCAAGACAAACAATGCCCAAAACAGAAGGAAAAGAACCACACCCAAATAAGTTCTAAACATTATCCATTTATTTTATTTAACTTTGCAAAGAACTCTTTAAAATAGACATGTAATAACATCCTCATTTCCCCCAGATCCACAGAACTACCAGGTGGTGGTCTTGAATCTACTGGGTATGACTTCAGGGCCCTCTAGGCACAGCTGTGAGACTCAGGCCCTCTCTAGTGAATCTGTAACAGGGAAGAGTATGCTCTAAGGGCAGAGAACAAGAGCAGCTGTATTTTCACAGTCTGGAAAGGGTGACTCCAGAGCTGAGGAAGACTTCTCTTGGGTCTGGTGAGGAGCTGATAGCTTCTACTCTGCTGAGACAGCTGCTTCTTGGACATTTCTGGCTTTGTGTTCTTGGTTGGGTTTATTTTCCAGGTCCAGGGCTAGTCTGAAGCCTGGGATGTGATTTGTTAGCGCATCTCTGCTCTGCCCTCAGCTCCCTGGGCTGTGGCTCCTAGGGGAAAGTATCTTCCTGCCTGAAAGCTCCCTCCTTTGCCCCTCCCTCCTTAGCTCAGACACAGGCCCTCCCTCCCAGGAGAAATCCATTTGTCTTCTCAGTGAAGGAGTGGACAAGCAGCTGAGGGGTGGTGGGGAGGTTAAGCCAGTGCTGAAGCTGCTGTTCCTAGCATTGCCATATGCAACATGCTTTCAGCCTGGCCTTGGGATCCCCTAAAACTCCAGGGCAGTATCTGGGGGAGGGAGGTGGGTGTTTCAGCACCTCCCTGCCTTTGGGTGTACCTGGATGGAGTGAGGTGCCAAGATCCCTGCCCACTTCTTTGCTTGTAAACAAACAAGACAGGCTAGAGATGCCTCTGACACCCCCCTCCCTCCAGCCCCCAGTCCCCATCAGCAGAGGTTGGGAGGGGTGTTCAAAGATGGGGAGTGTCTCATGAAGTGCTCTTAGCCTCGCAGCAAAGTCCTTCATGGCCTGTGGGTTGAGATGAGGTGATGGGCTAAGGTGGAGAGGAAAGAAAAGGCAGAGTAAGGCAGAAGTTACAGGTGCAGCTGACAGGTAGGCCTAGAGGCGCCTAGAATGAGTATTCCCTCAGACTCTGGCCTCTCATATTCCTCTATTCTACTCGAAGCCAGACTGGAGGTGAAAGCAGGGGAGGAAAATGGAGACAGGAAAGCACATTCTCCATTCTGAGGTTTCTTATCCCTGGCTCAGCACCCTGTCTGTCTCTCTCCCTGTCCAGGAGAGAACTGCGAGGACAAGAGCCCACCGGGCCCAGCATCCAAGAGGGTGCGCACGGCTTATACGAGTGCTCAGCTAGTGGAGCTGGAGAAGGAGTTCCACTTCAACCGCTACCTGTGCCGGCCGCGCCGGGTGGAGATGGCCAACCTGCTGAATCTCACCGAGCGCCAGATCAAGATCTGGTTCCAGAACCGTCGCATGAAGTACAAGAAGGACCAAAAGGCCAAGGGCATCCTGCATTCTCCGGCGGGCCAGTCCCCAGAGCGCAGTCCACCTCTCGGAGGAGCGGCGGGCCACGTGGCCTACTCCGGCCAGCTGCCACCGGTGCCCGGCCTTGCCTACGATGCACCCTCGCCTCCCGCTTTCGCCAAATCGCAGCCCAACATGTACGGCCTGGCCGCCTACACGGCGCCGCTCAGCAGCTGTCTGCCGCAGCAGAAGCGCTACACGGCGCCCGAGTTCGAGCCTCACCCCATGGCGAGTAACGGTGGCGGCTTCGCCAGCGCCAACCTGCAGGGCAGCCCGGTATACGTGGGTGGCAACTTCGTCGACTCCATGGCGCCAGCATCCGGGCCGGTCTTCAATCTGGGCCACCTCTCTCACCCGTCTTCGGCCAGCGTGGACTACAGCTGCGCCGCACAAATCCCTGGCAACCACCACCACGGACCGTGCGACCCTCATCCCACCTACACAGATCTCTCGGCTCACCACTCGTCTCAGGGACGCCTGCCCGAGGCCCCCAAACTGACACACCTGTAGCGGTTGCCGCCGGCCTGGTAGCTCGGAGCAATTACCTCTCTTGTTTTGGTGGCAGGGGTGGTGGGGGCGGGGCCCTGGGGCAGTTCGTGGGACGCCCCCTCCCCGATCTGGTCTGATCGCTTCCTCACGAGCCTCAGGCTTCCAGCGGCCTAGGCTGACACGACTGGGCCTCCCCTCCAGGCGTACAAGTCCTCCTTTGGGTGACTCGCCATAAATCAGCCGCAAGGATCCTCCCCTGTAAACCTGACAGTGCCAAACACTGCGGACCGAGGGACTATCTGGTAATGGTGTCCCTAAGGTAAGTCCGAGACCCATCCGTGGCGTGTCCTGAAGAGGGACTAGAGCCTGGAGAATCCCGGGCCTGGCCCCTCCGTTTAGCTTAGTTTCAGAGACCTTAATTTATATGCTCCCTCCCTTCCTGTAAAGATTGCATCGGACTAAACAATCTGTATTTATTATTTGAAGCGAGTAATTTCGTTTCCCTGATTATTTATCCTCGTCTTGATGTATTTATGTGTATATTTGTAGAATTCTCCAGCCGGGCCTAGGTACATGCTCCCAGGCCTTGGGGGCCACATTTCACCTCTTTAGTTCCCTTGGTCTGAACTAGTCGAGAGAGTAGTTTTGAACAGTTGTAACCGTGGCTGGTGTTTGTAGTTGATATAAAGGACTGATATCATAAATGGTCCTTCATGGGTAGAGTCAGGCAGCCTGGTGGCATAGCACGGCTCACCGTTAGTCGTTTCTCAACAGCCGAAGCCCTCACCATTTGACACAGCTTATTGATTGCAAATTGTCTGGTACTATTTGAACAAACATTTAGAATAAAAAAATTTTCTCAGTTGGAAGTGTATCTGTGTTAATCACGCTCATTTGCAGACAGACAACTCTGCCTTGATCCCTCTGTAAGATGACCCCCCCCCATGATAGACCCTCTGAAAAATATTTTTATTTATTCAGAACCTATTGCACGAATTGTTGTGGAGGAATGCTTGATTACATTGGCGCTATTGAAATTGGATGATAGTAATCAGAGGGTGCAAACCCCTAAGTATTGTAGGAGGGGTGGTTGCAATAGGGCTTTGCTAAAGCAGCAGTCACAAGGCTCTTTCTACCACCTCTTTCTAGACATGATCGACACATGGAGGGGGGAGACAGAGCTCATTTTTCTGCATTAAATAATAAAAATTAAACTTGGAGGAAAAACTGACAATCAAAGAAAAAGCATAAGAGAAACAGGAAGGGTTAAGCTATGAAAAGCTAAAGTGCAGGGGTATAAAAACAAATGACCATGCGGAAGGCAAGCACCCAGGCTTTTATCTCTAGGAAGCACTGAAGATTTTTTCCCCTTTGTAATGGTCAGTAGTTCATTTCAAAAGAAAACAAATGTTCTCCATAAATGTAAAATAATAAAAGTTTCATTAATAGAACACACCACGTATAAACACTTTGTTTACTCCTGTTTCTTTGTGCAAAACGGGCAAAAAGTCTACAACATTTACAGTCGTTTTGTAAATATCAGTGTGGCTCTAGCTAGGGTCGGGTACTTACACCCACTTCTATAGAAGGGGGCACTTGGAAAAAGGTCTTCAGACAAGGTTCAATTATTTTGTATTTCAGCAAAGTCCGCCCACGCATCTCTGTTTGGTTTGGCAAACATGCAACTCCCACGACCAGCCTGGTGACACGAGGTGGGATTCCTATTGTGTGGAAATGGCTTCTCCTCTTCTGGTGGAACAACACTGGTTTTCTATTTGGATGTTTGTGTTTCGCTCAGTAACGATGGCTCAAAATAATATTTAGTTTCCTTGTTTCTTTGTGCTGTTTTAAAATGGCATGTTAGGCTGGGGTGGGAAGGGATATACTTTTGCTAAATTTCACTCTATCTGAGCAAGTTTAAAGCATATATGTTGTAGAATTGTATCAACAGAATAAATGACTTCAATTGAAGGCATATTTTACCCACTTTCAAGGCTTAACCTTGTTTTCTATGAAACTTGCATTCATAGGCAGAATCTATAATTGTAAGAAATTATTTTTTAAGCTCTTAAAGAAATGAGAGTTAGCTGCCTTGTAGGAAATCACCGCCACCTTTCTTAACTGGCTAAATATTAAATAGATGAATTGTCAAGCTGTTTAGATTCAGCCCGGTTTCTCTCATCTCTTCTTCCTACCATAAATAATAATAAAAATACATAATGCATCATGGCTTCAGGCGTTTCCCAGCGCGGTGTGTTACCGCAGGAGTATTTGCTGAGTCTGCGGGTGTCTGCAAAACCCCAAGTGTCATCTGTGGCTTAGGGTTTCATGGATTAGACTTTAAACAGTGTCTAGCCCGGCTGACATCAGCTTCCTCTCACACACAGCCTCTAAGGAAGCATAAGGTTGGGGGCTCCCTCTCTAGGCAGCCGCAGCCTCCCAGGGCCTGCTGTGGAGTAAGGATGCAGGGAGAGGGGGAGGGAGTCGCTTCGATCCCGGCCTTCTCCCACCTCCTGAAGTTCTAGAGACATCAGAGAATTGCCTGGTTCTTTCCTGACACTGGCGGGAATCACGTGACGGGCACACTCGCTCCTAGCGTGGGTGGGGGCGGCGGCGAGTTCTGGGAGGGCGCACTCCCACGCGGCCGCCTGCCGGAGAGAGCTGGGCCCGCGGCACAAGCATTTAAAACTTCATAAATTATAAACAAGCCGCCTTGGCCTTCGCCATAAATTCCGCTCCTCTTGAGCCTGCAATTAGTGTTAGGAAGCACCCAAGTCTAAACACAACCAAACGCCCTCTGAAGGGTCCAACTGCCCGAGGTTGCAAGCCTTTATTTATTTCCCGGTGCCACCCCTTCAGTACCCGAGGTTTGCACACAGTCACCTCCTCCCCCGCCACCGCCGGCAGAACACACTCCGCTGGGTTCCCGCTTAGCCAGGGAAGGTCACAATAGCAGCTCTATCTGCCAAGTCGCCTGCCGCCTCCTCCCTCCCGGGTCTCGGAGAAGCAAAGAAAGAAGAGTGGGGGAGGGGAGCCTGGCCAGCAATGGCGCCCGGGTCTCAGGCCTCCGCTCCAGCTTCAAGACCCCTGGCAGGACACTATGCGGCAAGTTGGCAAGGGAAGGGAATCTGCACCCTTGCCTGTCTTTCTCCCACGACGTACGCTGTGGGACAGAGGAGCATCGACCCTCATATCCTTGTTGAGGATGCCCAGAAGCAGTCAGGTCTACCCAAAGCCCAAGAGTCCATTGTGCCAGCGGCTCCCTTTCTGGTCCTCCACAGAGAAGGCCTTAACCACAACAGGGGGCTATGCCAAAAGGAGGAACACCCGGGCCTCTACTGAGGGGATTGGTCTTGGGAGATCTACCTCTTTTGTTGAAGGGCAAGGGTGGCTTAGTTCTGGCTTTGGACAGCCCTTCTTTTTCGCCATAGCTTTTTTTTTTTTTTTTTTTTTTTTTTTTTTTTTTTTTTTGGGTGAAAGGTTATGGATCCCCGTTAGATTTTTCAGAAACTTTAGAACTGAATGAAAGAGGTCAGGTCCTTCCTTGAGCCTGGCTCATGGATGGTAGTCACTTGGGCATCCCTGGTTGCTCTGCCCAATCAAATGTGGATTAAAGTAGGATGCCGGCCAAATCCTAGAGTATGGCCCTGCTTCAAAATGGAGGTGGGTGTGGGTGTGGAGGAACAAGAGATGTTTTCCTTGCAACCTGGGAAACCTCAGTATACATTCTGATGTGGAGCTAGCCAGGGAATGGGAAGATGCCATGGAAAGCCTTGGAGAGTAGCCCTGGCTACCGGCTACTCTACTAAGGAGGTAAGAAGAAAGGGCCATCAAGCACATATTCTGCCTTCTGGCTTTCAGAAAATAACCTCATCCGATGACCTGACAAAGAAAAATCTGCCTCTGTTGGACTCATTAAGTTAACCATCCATTTGCACCGTTTCTTTGCACAGACTTTCAAATGGGAAAGAGGAGAATAACAAAGCTAGTACCTTCCCTTTGGTTCGACTGGAAGCCCAGCCCCATCAGAGAGAGATCAGTCAAATTGCTTTCTGAGGCCCCAGAGGCTGCTAACCTTGCTGAACAAGATTCTTCAAATTTTTATCTCTAAGAAGTATTAAACAATAGTGATCATCTATACTAGCTACCCATCCCTTTTCCCATCCTCACTCTCTACTACACCAATGGCTCTTGAGTGAAGTGGTCTTCCCAACCAGCAGGCTTGGAAGCTCAGGCTCTCCATCTGTTGAGGTTTTTCATTATGGAGGGTAAAGAGGAGGCGGTGAGTGGGTGTATGTTTGAATAACAAAGAACTTAACTCTTCTTCCAATAACAAGTGCTTCACTTATTTGACAGACAGCCCTCCCCACCCCCCGTGGAGGTGGGGGGAAGTCACAAGCTTGTTTACAACTTTTAGTATTAAAGGGACTGTCATAGGTCTGTTTGACTTTACCAGAATTAGTTGAAACTTCCTTCTGAAGTCAAGAATTGGGTAATCCCAGTTTACAGGTCTAGGAAGGTCTTCTTTATCTGGAAGTTCTTGGCAAAAGCTTAGCTCCTTCTTTCAGAAACTCAGAGAAAATAACCACAGAAGTTTATGAGCATGGGGGAGGCCCATACTCCCTCAGCTTTAGTCTTGGCACTGCAACTTCCCAGACAGGGTATGCATATTCAGAACCTGAGTCAACAGACATTGGGGGCACCAAGATACTCAGGGAGCTGAGTCTGAGTTGTCTCCAGCCAAGCCTTACCTAACCCACACCTTTGAGAGCTAACTCTTCTAGATCTCTTTCTGAGAAGGAAGGCCTGGGTGGATAGCAAAAGGCTGGGTGGGTAAGTCCTCTACTCTTACAGCTGTGCTACCCTGAAGGGACTGGTAACTGGAGAGCACCATCACTTACCTCTCATTGTTACCTTGTTTCCTACTCCACTGCAAATGTTCTTACCTTTGGGGTCCAAGGTTGGTGTCAAATGGATTTATAAACCTGACCTGAAGCCTTTTCTTAAACATTTCCCTCAGGGCTCACATCCTCCCTGTCAAGTTACAAAGTTCAAAGACAATCCAATTTAGCT